TTTTTTTGACATTTATCATTTTTAGAATGTGTTCAAAAGTTTCCCTCACTGTCCTGGTGGTTAAAAATGCAAATGTTCAATTCTATACATACAAACACGCACTCATAAATGGGTGTGTGAATTAATGTGCACAGAATCCTGGCCCATCTCTAGTAGCATTTCATCCAAGCATCCAGACCCTTAAAGGAATAAGAAAATAACTAACTGGCTGGAGTCATTCCTAATTGTCCCTGGGAGGTAAGAATCCAGAGCAACAACAGCATGGCTTTTGTCCTTTGGGAATTCCACACATTTGAGATGTCACGGCTGGACTATCCATGGGAAGGACCCAGTGTTGCTATCATCCATGAGGGGTCATTCCAAACTGAGAATACTTAGAAAAGAGAGAATTGATGTGTTGTTCACTAGACTCAGTGAAAAAGCCAGGACTCAGAGCTGTCAATGACCTATATCTTTTATCAAACAGACGAGATTTCTCTCCTTAACCAAAAAGACATAACAAAAATAACAACAGACTTTTTAATATAAAAAGCATGTAAAATGTAAGCTTTAGTTTCAGTAACAACCATGAGTTTACAAAAAGAATGTCAATTGGCTGTGTTTTAGAAGCTTACTTTATCTAGGGTCAAATGTATTATTGGCGATAGATGGTTCTAGAAACAAAGAATGAGAAAAGGAATTTTATTGGGCTTTTGTCTTAAACACCTGAATTTGCTGAATTTTAATGAAAAAAATCAATGAAGTAAAGGCCTATTATCACTTAAGTGTTAACAATAATATAACATGAAAAAATGTTTTTAAAATGAACCAGTAAATGGATGCTGTTGTTTATTAGTGGCTTTAGTAAATTGCATCAGCATCTTTACTCCTTGCATTAAGGCATCTCTCCCAGACCATTAACCTCATCTTTGAAGTTATAAAATTCAAAATTCTTATACTTAGCTGCCAGATATTCTCATTATTTTATTTGCCTTGCTCAGTGGTAACCAAGAAAAAATTTGATTCAGATTCCCCTGAAGTAATTAATTTGGGGTCTTTTAAAAACCAGGATTCTGCAGAAGCAGGGTTCTTTCCACTTCCTTTCAATTAAATTCACAAGCCTTGAGTGTCCCCATATGCCCCTTTCTGATAAGCTTTGTTCAGAATTGAAACTCTGCGGAGAGCTGATCTGAATTTAATTCTATTGTTTCTTAGAAATGTATCCCATAGTTAAGTTCTTGTTGTTTTTCTCCAAAACAAAGATCTTCTCCTTACATAAAAAGAGTCATGGTTGCTTAGGGCCAGAGTTAGACAAGTTTTATGTTCTGTGAATGGATTATAATCACTAAGCAAAATAGAATCACAATGGAAAATAGTCCATACTACATTTGAGGAGCCTGCTGTTTTTACCATTACCTTAGGTGCCAGCTGCCTGTACTTATTGTTCTGTAACACCACTCTAATCAGTGCAGAGACCAGAAACACAATGTCTGTGAAAAATGGAGAGATTTTGCTTAAAACAATAAATCCAAACAAAAACTATAACTTTAGAACCGCTACATTCTGAAGGAAAATGCTTTTCAAGATCACTTCTTTTCTTTGGAAAAACCGAATGTGTTATTATTTTGAACCAGGTTTAAGCGCATGGGTGAATGGTAGCCACTTTGCTGTATAATAAAGTTTGGGGGTGTTGGGACTTTTAGCCCCCATCTCCTCCTGACCAGTGGGAGAAGCAGCAAAAGCATGCCCCACCAAAATGAGCCAAGAAAGGTAAAGGTCGACTGGCCGCCCACCCCAGCCATTCCTCCCAGGAGGAGAATCAGACATGCCAGGGAGAACAGTCAAAGCAGGATCTCATTTAATAAGTACACACAGCTTATATACTGCACAGGAGCCAATCAGAATATAAAGGTCAGAGGGGTGGATCAAGTTCACCTGTACACCCACCCCTTAGTCTGTAAGGGAAGGCATGAGCTGTCCACTAGGGCGGAAGAGTCTTGGACCTATCCTGAGGTGGTCCGCCTCCTCTGTCACCCCCGCAGCACCGCCTCCTGGCTGATCACCAGGAGCTGTCTTAGCCACAAGTGCAGCCTCAAGACCAGGAAGCAGGCAGCCACGCCCTACATGGGGGGCATTTGCTTTGTCTCACACCATTGTCACAAGGCAGGATAACAACCATTAGAGCAACCCCTTATAGAATGAAGAGTATCTCTTTGAGCATTTGCTTGTAAAATGCAAATGTTTGGGGAGAGAAAATATAACTCACTATTAAACACTATTGATGTCATGTACTTTTATCTTTCTCACAAGAAAAATGGACAAGCAGTTGGAAAAGTTGTTTTGAATAAAATCCCTGTACATATGAGTCATTCTCATTTACACAATAGTTTGAGACATGTATTATGTTCAATTTGTGGATTGTTGGAAATAACTTGGAATACTTGGAAATTATCCACTAAAGAAAAAAAATTCTATTTATTCATAGATGAAATCTCTGTTATCACCTAATACGTGGCCCATCACTAAGCAAAATAGAATCACAATGGAAAATAGTCCATACTAAATTTGAGAAGTCTTCTGTCTTTAAAATAATAACATATTTGCTTTTTCCAAAGAACACCAGGTTAAAGGTTTTTATTGAAGTTTTTTCATGCCAAAGTCAGAATGTCTGATTTAGTCATTCTTGATATGAGATTATTTAGTAAGTATCTGATATGATTCTACTGTAGGTGATCTATTTGCCACACTTTGATATATCATACATATATGATATTAGGTGATTATATATATTATGATTATCTATGTAAGGTGTAGATATATATATATACACCTTACATACATATATATATGATGATCAATCTTAAACTCATGACATTTATATGCTATTGGTGGTAGTAAGGCGATCAACAAGTCATATTACTGTGAAAGAAATAAGAATTTCTCAATTTCTGAGATAATGAAATATTCTATTTTTCCCCCTTACTGTTATTCCTTTCAAGGGAGACATAGAAATGATTTGATGATAAAATGTTAAATGTTTCATGTTGTATCTCTCCTCATACTCTTTATTTTTGGGGAGAAAATATTTTTAAATAAATGCTTTTGATTACTGCATAAGAAACATCAGGTTAGGGATTTTATTGCAGTTTCTTTTTAAACACCCTGTTTAGTTTCTGATTTAATCATTCATGATAGAAGATTAGTTATTAAGTATCTGAGATGATTCTACTGAAGGTGATCTATTGGCCACACTTTGAGAAGAAAATTGCTCCAAGGAATGGATAATTAATGTTGGTTACAAACCTTGATACCAGTCCCTAGAAGCAAAGATTCTGAAGAACAACAAACCAGTTCACATTAAGAGCTGCTCTATCAATTCTTGTGAAGCTAGTGTTCTCAACATGTGCATAGTCAAATTGAGATGGGCTGATTTATAAAAGTGCCTATAAAAAAAGAGAAGTTACATAGTTCAGTGAGAATCCTTTTTCATATTTTTATGATGCCATTAACAATTAAATTCTATAGGTGGCTTGTGTTTTCTTCCTATTGAACTGTGCTACTTTAAACTAAATATAAATGCTTATTCATTTGAAGAAAAAAAAATCTTAGGAAGGTGTTATCACTGTTCTCTTGAACTTGTTTCCAGATGTCGGATTCTTGCTTGGTCTTACCCACATCTCCTAGCTATACCAAGGTCAAATGTTCTCTGCCATTGCTAGGCTCTATATCAGCCTACCTAAAGGTCATGTGTCTTTCTTTCCGAACAAGAATACATCTCAAGTATTTGGCAGTCCTACTATTTCATCAAGATCAGTTCTAATTCCATCTCCTTTCAGAAACATTTCTAATTCGCCCCTATACTTATATAACTATGTATTAATTAATTCATCAATTAACTACTAGGAACTGTGGAACAAGCTACTAGGAACTGTGGAAGACACTTATGTATAATGGTGCAGTGGTAATATTTCCCATCATTTGTGTAGCCAACCATGTAGCATAACAGCCATGCAGTATACAGAGGAGGTGAGTAATCATTAGCTACACTAGTATTGTAAAATGTATCACTCAAGCTGATTCTACAGAGCCACTGCAATAAAATATGTACCTTTACTTTATTACATTATTCCATGTATTTCAAAGGGGTTCAACCAGGATTAATGTGACAAGGTCTGTGGATGAACACAATCTTAGAATCACTTTCAGGACATTAAAATGTGTAATAACTTATTATGTGTATAAAATGTGGTCACTGTTCTCTGGTGAGTTTTTTGGAGGCTAATTCCAATCATAGAAATCCACTTGTAATCTCCAAGCATGTTCTATAGTGTTGGATTATAATGCCAGTATTTTTATGCTACTGTGAATTTTGCAATTATGAACATGTGGGAGATTTTGATATATTGCTTAAAGAGAATATTTCTATTCATGCATGATATTTAAGATTTGTAATCTTCATTTTGTTTATAAAAATATTTGGACACAGAAACAGAGGCTTGTTATTTATTTGTTATAGAATGATACAAATAACAATTTGATTCTTTCTGGTTTCTTAATCATCTCTTCTTTGAGCCTATCATAGTGTTTGCCTAGATTGTTCTTTATTAATTTAGGTTATCCTTACTCCTCAAATCTAATAAACCCACATACCCACAAAATGAGCCCTTTTTGAGTGTTCACTTAAAATAAGAAGGGTTACCCTAGTCTCGCAATTTTAAAACCATGTGTGCATTGATTTCTGCACAGGTAGGCAATTTGTGATTTTATTTTTCCTTATGCTGATTGCTAATTAGGGCGGATGCAAGACCTGTTTTGTTTCCATTTAAAAGACTTAGCCTGGGAGTATTTCATCATCTGTGAATCCAGCAACAGCATGAATATCAAAGAGAGAGCTGTTGGTAGATCTTCCTGCCACCTGCTCTTATTTTATTTTTTTTTTACATTTTTTTCCTGGTGAGATGGTCGTGAATTTCCATATGCTAGAACATTTTCCTTATAAGGGTTCCTTATTTTCAATGCAGGCAGTTTACTGACTGGTGATGGACAAGAAGAAAAACAGGATTGTGTGAAGAAGTATGAGGACCATCCTGGCTCTAAATAATCCTTGTTGCCCTTTTCCACTGAGCCTGTGCAAATTTCTACAAGGACAGAGTGGTAGACCCCAATGATTCCTGTGTAAGGGAAGACTTTTCAAAGGTTTTGACTCATTACCTTTTGGCCAATGAAATTAATTATCTTAGAAGATTTGGTTCATTTTATGTGTTTGTTTTCTGGTGCTGGGAATTGAATCCAGAGCCTTGTGCTCTACCATTGATCTCCATTCCCAGCCTAGTTGGTTTTGTTTTGATAATGTCTTCTCTCTGTCATTTGCTTGAACAGTATACTAGGAATGCCATAGTGTATACTTCAGAGCTTACAAATTGCCATTTTCACAGTACTGAAAGAAACAGCAAAAAACTAAACTTTATAATAGGACATAGTAAATACTTTGGTGAAACATTGTATGAGACATTATAGAAACAGAGTATATGAAGCATTTAAGCCTGACTTTCCAAAGAAAGTGTCAATTGAGCTGCTAGGTTTAATGAATTGATGATGAGGGGAATAGGAGACAAAGTGCTCTCAATTTCTTTCAGATTGCTGTCAAAAAGGAGGAAATTTGAGTGTTTTTTTTTTAATTTAAATGCTCAAGGGTTAAAAACTGACTAATGTTAATTAATACATGCATAATGGCAAAAACTACCAATACCTTCTTTCCTAAAGTAAGCAGACAGATAAAAAGAGCCATAGGAGAAAGGAATAGCAGTTCAGTCAGCCATTTGAAGCAATTGATTGAAAAATCATTATGTAAAATTCTCAATATAATTTAACACTCCCAACTTGAGTCACCCAAATCAGTCAGAGCAGGGCAAGTTTAGTGTAAAGTCTCTGATGTTTCTAAATCCTCAGAAAAAAATCACATTATCAGTGAAGAAGTTGCTTACATTTTCAATAAGAGCATTGTACATGCAAGTTTTTTTAAGATACTTGTTATTTCAGAAATATCATAAAAATAGTCCCCATTAGAAAAAAGTTGATATCCTTTATGTTTATTCTACAGTACTGTAGTATACTTGTGTTTCACTCCATAATGGTAATTGGTGACATTTAATCCATATGACTTCTGAAGTTCTTAAACATTGCCAGGAAAGGAAGCTGTGTTCATCCAGTTACAAATATGAGAAGATACTGAACCAACACTCAAGTAAACAGAGCCAGGGAAATCCAAATACTGGCACTGCCTGACAATGCTGAATCTGAATACATTTCTCTACACTTGAGGATATAAACAATAATCAAAAAATTAAATACCTGTAGCAGTGCATATCTCTGGGTGATTTTCAATCTGTTTATGATATGGGCTCAACACAAAAACCACTTGAGATAACTTTTTTGTTGTTGTTGTTATCTGGGCCAAATGGACATGCAAAAGATACTATCATCATCTTCAGATTAGCAGCTATAAAGCCTTCTCTTTTACTGATAACAGAAAGCTAACAGTACTTAAGTAATTTAACTAGAATTATAGATAGCAAGGGTGCAGATTCAGCTTTATTTTAGTCCAGAAGTCATACTACTTCCACTACACACAAATAAATGTGATAAATAATATATATATTTTTAAAAAGACAAAATAAAACTGGATTTCAGTTTTGGGAAGCTGCCTAGATCAACTTGAATATGTGGGAGATATTCAGATTATCAGTATATTAAACATATAAAAATACATGTGTTCATCCGAAGCTATCTAGATATTTAGGTATTCAGTTAGTTTCCATATGTTTCCTTGTATTCCTCAGGGTATCAGCAGAGAATGCAGATGTGGAATTCTTTCAATTAGTTCACTCAAGTGGAAAGAGAAATGTAGTAATTTGATTATCATTTTTCTTCATGATCTTAAGATAGATTGGGATTTGATGAAATGGTCATTATAAGAAGAATTATGTGTCTAAGCATAATACAAGGCAGAAGCCCATTGCTAGAAGGCAAGATTAATTCATAAGCATTCAAAATTCCATTAGCATAAATGATTATTCAAAAGCCACATAATTTGATGGTGAGATTTTATCTTTTTTGGTTTCTTCTTTTGAAGTCAAATCCATTTGTACACGAAAAGTATGGAACTTTTAGAATGCATTTTTGGAAAGGAATTCACTTTTCTTTCTTCTGTTTCACTGAAGTATATTTCACTAGAGTTTCATCAAGGTGATAATAAAAAGCTAAATTCTATTTTTTTTAAATCTGAATTTGTGTTGATCAATAAGAGCTATTGTGGTTTTTTTTTGGTGTGTGTGTGTGTGTGGTTTTTTTTTGTGTGTGTGTCTAAGTGTCTGTGGCATTGGAGATTGAACCCAAGAACTTGTGATTGCAGACAATTCTCTGATGCTGAGCTAAATTCCCAGCCCAACAAGAGCTTTTAAATAAGGATTCTTAGTTGCTGTATTTGTATATATGATTTATTTATTTAAATATTGAAAATTACCCTAACTTTAATATGCTGGGCTTTGGGTACATTGAAATAATCACCTTTATTGGTGATCATTTACTTCTCTTCAAGTGATCTACAACTGAATACTGAGTAACAAAGATTAAGTCAAACCAGGCACACTATTCCCATGAATGAGATCAAAGGAAAGCTGAGTTTGGGAGGTGATGGATAATATTTCCTTCAGGGATTTGGAATGGGGGTTATTATTTTATTACTATTGCTGCAAGTTTTAGAGTTGCAATAAAAAAATGACTATCTGAATTTTTTTGAAAAAATAAACAACCTTGTGATATGTTCAAGATTTTCTAAAGTAAGAATTCCCATGTAATATTATGAACTTTTACAAAATTCATGTAAAAGATAATATACTATTAGAAGCAATAAAGAACCAGAGGACATGGTGTCATGTACTCATGGAAATAGGACTATGATTTTCAGTCACTGGTGTATTTAAGATGTGTATTTTAAGACAGCAATTGGAGATTACACATTTAAATTTTCTTCCTTATTTTTAATTTCCATCAAAACAACTGAAAATATAATAAAAGTGAAAATTCCTAACGATATCAAAGTCTAGGAGAGCACCCAGATATGAAAAAATTTCAACAAAATAAATTGTAGAAATTAACATTATAAAAGGAATTTCAACCATCCAAAGAGTCTCTGCAAGGAAGGAAAATTCCACCTGGATCTACATATGGAACAGGAGCTGCACTATGGAATCTCAACTAATTCTCTCTCCTTTGCACCAATGGAAGCCTGAGCCAAAGGCAGCCTTCCATTAGTTGATGAGAAGCAGGAATTGATCTCATTATTACCTCCAGATTTACACCAAACACTGGAGTTAGTTCCATAGCACAACCCTGCCTTGGTGCTGCCTCCCAGGTTGCATTGGCATATATGGCATTTTAAATAAATCAGGGCCGGGTGACAGCTGGCTCTGAATGAAGGAGCTCTAAAGAGTGCCACTGACCCAGCTAATGCCTGTTGCTCTGAGAAATACAAAAAGAAATGGCTTGGCAGAAAGGTGAAGCACTGTGTCTATGCTCTTTCTGGCTACAGCTCCCTTTGCTGCTCCATTCTGGCAAGTGAAAATAGAGTCACTCTAAAACTTGTCCTTTATTCTTTTGTCTGGCTGAAATATTTGAACAGAGATCAACATAATCTCTGTTAGATCCCATCTCAAATCCCAAAGTTGGAAAAGTATCATTGACTGTTTGTACTCTGTAGGGGTGAAAAAAGATTGGACATATGCAAGGATTAGTTTTCAGAAAAAGAGTTAATCTAAGGATTCAAACCAATGCTACCTATGAGGCAGCTTTGCCATCTCTCTTACCTGGATAATTTTAATTGTCACCAGATTGCATTCCTAGTGTCTAGTCTTGTCTTCCTTTCTCTAAATCGATAATGGGCACTGAAGCCAGAGTGAACTCTCTGAAATAAAACCGTGGTAGGAATGCAGGGTGATCCATGAAGATCATCTCTTTGATGGAGACTACTGAGCTGAGATGTGAGGAGCAGAAGAAGGTGCCAAGTGATGGTATTCTGAAAGATCCTTCTAGACAGAAGAGCCAGAAAGGTCAAAATTTTGGTTCAAGGATATCATGTTCATGATAGAAGGACAAAAACAGATTCAGTGGCTTCTCAGAACTGACAGAAAAGAAGGTATAAATATCAATTAAGGGAATTAGGAAGGTTTCTTAGGTCTTATAGTACATGATGTAGAACTAGGACATGTTTTAAGGGCAATATGGAAAGCTGTTATCTGTTTGTAACTAGGAGAAATATATGATATGATTTATATTTTAAATATTCTGACTTCTCTATTGAGAAGGAATGAAGGTTGGTGTGGAGGAAGTTGTCACTGTTTTCCATTTGAGAAGTGAAAGTGACTGGTTTGGAATTGAGGCTAAGAAGATGGATTATGTGCTGGTATCAAACAGAACTCAAAGAGTTTGGGGATGTGCATTAAGAGATGGAAATGATAAGGGAAACAAAAACATCAGGTTGATGTTTAGCCACCCCCATTTACTCAGAAATGGAAATCTGAAAGAAAAACATGCTTTTATGGTGAAGATACAGAAACCCATGTGCTGATGACTTTTTAATGGTAAAGATGTTATTAGAACTCTGTGGAGGAATGATCAGGATTGGCATATGGTGTAAAATTAACCAGAATACAGGGGTATTTAAAAAAACTACTGAGCAAAAAGAGAACCAAGGGATGAGAAACCAAAGAAGGCTTGCTGAAAAAGAAAATGAAACAGGGTTTGCTGAGAAAAAGGAGTCAGAAAAAAGAATAGGTTGGGTTAGGGAATGAGAGGGAATGGAGGATGGTGTTACAGAAAGTTAGAGAAGGGAATGAGTCAGTAAATAATTGTGATCAATATTAAGCATAACAGATAAGATCAGGAAATATACCAGGGGTCCTGCAAATTGATGTCACTTGTGACCTGATAAGAATCTTTTCAACAGAGTAGAAGTTTTACTGAAAAGCAGCCTTTTCCAGATTGGGGGTGAGCATCAGTTAAAAGGGAAATTTTACTTGAGGTAACTAAATATTAAATATTATTTAAAACACATCTGTAGGTAGATGGGAATAATCCCATGGAAAAAGAGAAATTGAGGATGTTGCACAAAACAAGGATAATTTCATGCATACTCGATGGTTGAAGAAATTTTGGAAAACAGATTTCAGAGAAATAGCTTACTTCAGATATGAACATGGACATATAACCTACTTTAGTTTGAAAATGCAGAGTATTTGTGGTAAGTTGTAAGTAGCCTTACCTGATAAGAGGAAAATGAAATACATCATTGTTTTAAACATTTCCTTACAAAGTATTAAGAAACATTAGTAGTTGAGAGCATGATTCTGGGGAAAGGTATTGGAGATTTCAGAGATATTTCAGTTTGGCATAGTAAATAAAAACTAGCAGATTGCAGTACGAGTTTCTGGATTGCTAAGTGCCTTCTTGACATTTATAAGTACAACAGTAAAGTGAATTCAGTCAGTAAGGGTTTGTGATTTTTCTATAGCAATGTTCAGTTGATTGGGTATAATCGGTTCTGAGATTTTGACAACAGAGTTCAAGATGGAAGAAGTGGAGGGAATCAAGTATGTTGAGAAGGAGTGTATACCATTTGTAGTGAGGTTATTCTAAACTAGGTATGGAGGGAAGTGAGGTCATGAAGGAGGTGATGCTGATGAAAACCGTTGATTACAGGCAAGGGGATATTCAGTAATGCCATGACAGTAAGTATCCTGAACTAGTGGAGAGTGACATTGAAGTATAGGCTATCTCAATACAGATGATATTGGAAGTGCAACTTCCAATTAAAAAACAAAATAGTACATGGCAACACAAGTGGAAGGTTAATGTGAAGTGGTAAAAAAAGACAAGTGGAGTGCAAGAGAGGCAATGTGTATGACAGATCAAGCCTGTGGGAACAAAGTGAGCAAATGAGAAAGAGTGACAAGTAATTCTGAGATAATAATGAGGGAGGAGAGTTAAGAAGGAGAAGAGAAAAAAAAAAAAACACCAGGTTTGGTCAGAATATGAAAGAAAAGGGTAAAATGGGAGGGACACATATATGTATTCTATTAAGTTAGAAGAGTTTGGTTTGTGGAGGACAAACCCATTTTAGAGAAGTCTGCAATAAAACCAGGGTCATTGTGGGTCAATTCGATTTCAAGTTGGATAACATGAAGGGAGTTTGAGTCTACAAAAATGTTACTGAAGGCTCACCTAGAGTTCTAGCCCCTCTTATTTTGATTTTGGAATAAACATTGAAATACTTATAAAATTTAGCATAAAAATTACATGGGCAGGGTGATAGGGGGAAAGCTGCAATTGTATATTTTTGGTGGGATCACAGATGATGACAACCACTCTGCAAAGCAGTATGGAGAGTCCTCAAAAGCTAGGGATGGAACCACCATATGACCCAACTGTCCCTCTCCTTAGTATTTTCCCAAAGATCTAAAATCATCATACTATAGTGATACAGCCACCTCAACTTAACAAATCATCTAGCTCTCCTAATATTTTTTTGTTTAAATGAATTACAAAATATAACAACAATAAATAAAAACTTTTCTCTCTGTGACATTTACTGGACTTTGATAGCACTCTGAATAATGGCAATTGTTGCTAGTCACATATGTACCAAGAATTTCTGATGCAGCCAGAGTCTTTGAGTTTATTTCAAAGTCTTTTTCTATGTTGTACTTGTTTTATAATGATACAATTTAATTAAATATTATATAAACCCTGGAAATTGTTTATTTTATGAAAACAAACTTTAATGTTTTAAGACATGTGGTTAGAAAAATCACTGAACTCCTCTGCTATGTAGAATTAGATGTGATTGGGACAGTTCTAAATGACTGAGGAAAATAAAAAAGAAGACTCTCAAATTTCCTGACCAGTTTGGATAAGTTCCTGTTTCTCTTTCTTAAGAAATAAAGGTGGACCTCCATCTAAACATAAATAATACTACATGTGTAAATTTTAATTTAAAACTTTAAAAATAAGTTTTGTTTATATTATTTTATGAATATATGCTTTAACATATTTTATAGAATAATCAATCAGGATTTCCAATTTCCAACTGTAATCAATCAAGTATGTAACTGCAAATTATGATAGGGTATTTTTTTAAAAAAATTGTAATATGTTGCAAGAAGAAATAACTAAGGGAGAGATCATTTCTGTGAGGTATGAAAAAAAGACTTGTGTTGAAATCTGAATTCTAAGAACTCACTAACCAGGAGAATCAGAAGGAAAATTGCTCTGGAGAATCAAAATATTAAGAAAATGTAATCACTATGGGAATGCAAGTAAGAAAATAAAAACTAAACAAAAGAAAAAATAAGCAATATCATGAAAGTATAAATAAAAAGCTTTCAAAATAAATATGCATAGATTAAATAATATATAGGAAATATATATTATTTAATTAAGTAATTAAATAATATATTATATTTAATTATATAATTAAATAATAATAATTAAATAATTATTATTTAACTCAACAATATGCATCTTGCAAAAACTTACACCCAAAGCAAAATACCACAGAACCATCAAAGATAGAAAGGATAAAGGACAAGCTGGACACATGCAAAAGACAATATGAATTTAGATAGGAACATTGATATCAAGAAAATTAGAATTCAATACTAAAAGCAGTTATCAAATAGCATTGATTGCTTCTCTACAAGGATCATATGTGTCATTACAGTTAAGATAGACCACAAAGGAATCTTTAAAAACCAATGCTTTCAAATCAATATTTTTAGAGAAGGTTAAAATGTAAGAAATTGACAAATTAAAATTGTGCTCGAATATATTATTATATTTGACTCTCTTTGGTATATCATAAAAATGACAAGAACGTAGATTTATAAGATTTAAACAGTATTAGTAATAAATTAGGATTAGTATTTCTATACCAAAATTTCTATACTCTATCAAGAAATGTTTTAAAATGTGCATGGAATATTTTTATAAAAGATCATGTCATTACATAGAAAGTATCAACTGATTCGTTTTGGACACTTGGAAGAAGTTAATCTTATGAAAAATAGCACTGAATAAGACTTAGAAGGTGAGAATGTAAGTCTTTGTTCTTCTCCTGGTACACTGAAACTGAGTTATAAAATCTTGGCTTAAAAAGCTACTGTCAATTCATGTCCCAAATTAACTTTCTAGTCTTAAGCATGATTCTCTGTAGGAGAGTCATTTTTCTCTGCAAAATGAAAATGCAGAACCTTTTCTTAAAAATTATTAACAAATTTGAGAATGGTATAGCTTGATATATTAGTTCCATTCCTAGTCTTTTGAGGAACCTCCATACTGATTTTTGTTGTGATTGTAATAATTTACATTCCCACTACCAAGAAATGAGTCTCTTTTTCTGATACATCTTAGCTAGCATTTATTATTATTTTATTCCTAATGATTGGAATTCTAACTGAAGTAAGAATAAATCTCAGTAGAGTTTTGATTTGCATTTCCCTGATTGGTAATGGTGTTGAACATTTTTTTTTTCATATATTTTTCAGTTCTTTATACTTGTTCTTTTGAGAAAGCCAGTTTAGTTCATTTGATCATGTATACAATGGGTTATTGGGTTTTTTAGTGTTAATTTGTTTGAGTTCTTTATATATTCTGGATATTATTCCTCTGTTGGAAGAATAGCTAACAGAGATTTTCTCCTATTCTTTAAGCTCTTTCTTCACATTAGTGTTTTCTTTTTTGAGCAGAGTCTTTTTAATTTGTTGTTATCCCCTTTATTAAAACTTAGTATTATTTTCTGGATTATAGGAGTCCTACTAGGAAGTCATTGCCTGCATGTATATGTTGGGTTGTTTTTTCTATGTTTTCTTTTAATAGTTGCAAAAGAATTTCACATTAGCCACAGCAAAGCTTTAAACCAAACAAATGACCCTTCTGAGCATGGAGACTATGTCATTGTGCAGATGTCACAGCTAATCTCCCCTTAAAGCACCTTTCTCTGCCTCTGAACCTCAGTTAAAATGATTTTACCCCATTTTATTGCTGTGGTTTTGGTAAAATTGTCCTGAAATTCCCATTACACATACAGAATATATTTATTTGTTAGAAATGTGGTTAAGGTGAGCCATGACATATCCATTTTCAAAATTCTCAAAATTCTTTTATGTATCTAAGAATAAGATACAAAGTCCTTACTAAGCAATCAGAACTTGGCTTTGATTTCATTCTTGTTCTTTGCTTCCCACATAGAGCTTGTTAGCGAGTTCTATAGGTTCTACCACCCACAACAGTATAAATTTGTCAGCTTCACAACTCTGCTGCTATCCTCCTATTCCATGACACATGGGACTACTACAATAGCTGAAAAGATGGTATCCCTTGATCAATTTGCATTTTTAGAAAGCCATTTTCTACACAACTGTAATTAAGATCATAAGATGCCTTTGGTGGATTTCCATTGCATGTAATGTAAAATTTGAGCCCCCCTCTCTCTCTCCCCTTTCCCATCCATCCACCTCTTCAATCCATCCACCTCTTCTATTCTTCCAGTAGCCTATAAGTAAAAAGTTTACAAGAACATAAAAAATTCTACTTTTAATCATCTGAGATTCATTAAGGACTTGAGACTCTAACTTTTACATATCCCTTTGCCTGAAGTGCTTTCCAGAGTCCACAGGTGGCTCCTTCTCACTTTGTCTGTCTTAATTCGGGATCTTATCCATAGCCCTTACACTTCTAATGGGCTCTCCCCAATTATCTTTTGTTCCTGTACCCCATGGACTATATTCAAAGTAATTTTTGCCATCTGAAATTCCTAATTTATTTATTTAGTAGTTAGTTAGATAGAGAATTGTTGTGCTTCCAGCTATTTTAAAGATCTATGAGAAAAGCATCTTTTCAGTTCGTAGAGCAGTACCTTGAATTTAGGGAAATTGCAAGAAGAAACAGTGCAAGCTTCATTCTTTAACTCCTGTCAGAAAATTTAAAATTAAGGATTAAAAGAATGAGCAAGCACATGCAAGTGTTTTCCCCACATCCAAAATAAGATGCATGTCTGATTCCGTATTCCAATTCTCATCTCTAATCAAGTTCACTGAACCTCCATGTTTCATTTTCCAGCTCATCAGGAAGAACAGAACTGATGCTCGATTGCATCTAAAAATCAATTGACAGATACTTATTGATTGCCTCTTTTAGTCATTGAGCAGGATTAGGTGATGTGGGAAATTAAAAAGTATAACAATATTTGTACGACCTATTAGACGGTACTAGATGTTATCTAAGATGTCACACATGGGACACAATCAAAAATCTTAACAAAATTCATGAGATGAAGATTGGAGTGATGAGGGATGACTTCAGGAAGAACTAGTCTTCAGATCTTCTGTCTGGGTTTTCAGAATGACTTGCAAATGTGGATATAAACTTCTCTAAAGAGATTTTGTGCCACAGTGTGTGAATTGTTTTGTAAATTGCAAAGTGTACATGCAGACTCCATGGAAAATAATTTGGGGATTTATGTTTAGTTAAATTGTGAAGATGCTTCAATGCTAAATCCATTTAAAAGTCAAAATGCAGACAATGAAGATCCATAAATCATTTTTGTAGGGGATTAATATTAGGGAAAGTCGTATGTTAAAATTTAATCTACAGAAATTTGTAGAATAAGCAGGAACTTGGAGCTGGTAGTAAACGTTAGATTATAATTGTCTAGATATGAGATGATAAGTGTTTCAGTTCATATGTTTATATAGAAAATTGCACTGGGAAGATAAACATAGCAGGCCTTTACATGACCAGTTACAGTTTCTTTTGGAAGAACAGAAATCATAATCTTGGTGATTGTTTGAACTCTCTGTGACCTGAAGATGAACAGTAGGTGGAAACTCCTGATATAACTTGATTTCTGCTTTCCTAGAAGATATGTTTCAATTTTTTGAAATTTTTAAAAGTCTAGTCGAGAGTCAGTGCTGATTACAGGCAGTGAGGTGAAGAAT